AAAAAAAAAAAAAATCGATTTGCACCAGCTGAATAAATAAAAAAGAAAAGCCAGGTGTGGTAGCACACACCTGCAATCTCACCAGTGTGCAGTTTATTTTTTAAAAATTAAAAAATTGTATTTACTTAGAAGCATCCAGAATGTTAACAAAACAGCTGCAGCACTTTTTTATTTTTTTGCAATTACACAGTAGTATTCAGTTAACAACAATTATTCCATATAAGCTGCATCAGAGATAACTGAAGATGAAAAACTACCATCACCATGCACAACTGATTTGTGCTGCACACAAACGAGAACCTGCTTTAAATTTCTATGCCAGAGTCTGGGGAGATAGCTTGGTAGAATAAGTGCTTGCCTGGCAAGCACAAGGCCCTGAGTTTAATCCCTAGTACCATAAAAATTAAATTAAAATAAAATAAATTTCCATGCCAATTCACAGCCCCCTACTGTGCCAGGCAAGGTTAGTGTCTATTGAATATACCACCAGGACAGGGCTATCTACATTCCACAGTGTTTAACTATACTAAAAAAAATTAAATTAAATTAAATTAAAAAGACATTGTAGGGCTGGAGAGATGGCTCAGTGGTCTAAAGCACCTACTTGAAACAAGCTTGGCAAAGCACAGGGACCGCGGTTCGATCCCCAGCACCACATGCCAGCCAGCCCCGCCCCCTGGTGGGCTAAGCTGGCCACACACACAATAAATAAATGTAATAAATAAAAATAAATATTATATAAAAAGACATTGTATAGTTTAAAAACAGATTTTTATTTTTTTTTTTTTTCAGAACCGGGGATTAAAACTAGGGCCCTTGCACTTGTCAGGGAAGCACTTATTCCACTAAGCCATCTCCCCGCCCCCCCCCGCCCAAAAAAAAAAAGCCAAAAAACAGATCTTACAGGGCCAGGGAGAAGGCTCAGTGGAATAAGTACTTCTCTGGCAAGCACAAGGGCCTGAGTTCAATTCCTGGTTCCAAAAAAAACAGATCTTACACAGCCTTACACTTCAATTTTTTCTTCAAAAGGACTGAGTTGTGTACAGGAGGTGTTAAATGCTTTACAGACACAAAAAAACTGCGCTAGAACTTATTCATCTTCTTCCTCTTCCTCCTATTCCTTTTCTCAGCCTGGACGACTCCCTTTCTTGCTGCATCAGGTTTTCCTTTAGTCCAGCAGACAGCAATATCCTATTTGTACTTCTCCTTCAGCTTAGCAGCCTCCTTCTCGTATGGCTGCTTGTCATCTGCTGCAGTATTATTTCCCACTTCTCCAAGTTTCTTTGCGAGACATCACCAGTGGAGAGGCCAGGATGTTCTTTGATGTGGGAGCAATACCCAGAACAGAAGAAGGCTGAAGGAGGCTTCTTGGGCGCATTAGGATCCTTGAACTTCTTTGTTTCTCATTTAGTAGGGCTATAAGTCTCCATTTCTCTCTCTATTTTTTTTTAAATTTATTTTGTGTGTGTGTGGCCAGCTCAGCCCACCAGGGGGCGGGGCTGGCTGGCATGTGGTGCTGGGGGATTGAACCGCAGGCCCTGTGCTTTGCTAAGCTTGTTCTAAGTAGGTGCTTTAGACCACTGAGCCATCTCACCAGCCCTCCATTTCTCTTTCATAACGAGCCTTGTCTGCCTTTGCCATGTCTTTAAATCGTCTTTTTGCTTTAGCAGAAACGGTCTTCCACCTCTCTGAGCACGTCCTAGAACACTCGGAAGATAACAAAGCATCTGGGTGCTGCTTCTTGTGCTCCTCTCAGCAGGTTTGCACAAAGACTGCACGGGATGACATTTTTCTCTCGGCTTCTTAGGATCTCCTTTGCTGTGTTCGCTTGTTTTCCTCAGGGAGGCAGAGTCACCCAGTGCCCCGGTGCTGTCTCTGTGGGGCTCAGTGTATTTCAATCCAGTGTGTAGTTTAGGCCATTTTGTGACTTTTCAAATTTTTTTTTGTTTTTGTTTTTGTTTTTTGAGACAGAGTCTCACTATGTAGTTCAGGCTGGCACCCCTCCCTCAGCCTCCCAAGTGCTGGGATTACAGGCACCTGCCACCACACCAGGTTCATTACTTTTTTCTTTTTGAGACAGGATCTCTCTATGCAGCTCAGGCTGGACTTGCTCACTTTGTAGCCCAGGTCTCAAACTCACAACACTCCTCCTGACTCAGCCCCCAAGTGCTGGGGTTACAGCCCACTGCTACCACACGGGCTCATTAAGTGATTTTTAATAGTCACTTTCATTCCATTATACACACAGGAATGAGTACTGTCCAAAATAATTATTTAATAAAAACTTAAAATCAAGTAATTGTACTGTTAGTAACTACTACAAAAATTTATATTATCGAGATTGTTATGGTGTGCACACCTGTAATCTAGCACTCAGGAGGCTAAGGCAGGAAGACCACTGTGCATTCCAGACCAGCCTGGGCTACACAGTAAGTTCAAGACTGCCTTAAACTACATAGTGAGACCCTACGAAAGGAGGGGAAAAAAAAAAAAAAGAAAAAAAAAAAAAAGGAAAGGTTGTTGGTGTCCCATCTGGGCAACTTAGTGAGACCCTGCCTTAAAATTTTCAAAAAAGGTAACAGAACATGGTGGTACACACTTGTAATCCCAGCACTGCAGAGGCTGAAGCAGGAGGATCACTGTAAGTTCGAGGCCAGCCTGGGCCACAAAGCCAGCCTGATTACCCAAGGAGACACTGTGTAAAACAAACAAACAAAAAAACCCAACAAAACTGGTATGGTGGCATATGTTTGTAGTCCCAGCATGTGGGAGGCTGAGACAGGAGGATCACACTGCAAGTTCAAGGCCACCTTGGGCTGTATAGTAAGTTCAAGGCCAGTCTGGGTTACACAGAGAGACAACGCCTCAAAATTATATCACCAAAATATACCCATGTATAAAAACACTACATTGTGGCTGGGGATGTAGCTCAGCAGCACAGTACCTGGCAAGTGCAGGATCCTGGGTTCACTTCCTGGTATGAAAAGAGAAAGAGAGAGAGAGAGAGAGAGAGAGAGAGAGAGAGAGAGAGACAGACACACAGACAGACACACAGACAGACAGAGACAGAGAATACCATACTGAAATATCTTTGCACTTGCATCATGAGCACATATATTGTACTAAAATTGAAAAAATACAGACATTAGCCTGTCTGCTACACAAACAAGATGTAAGTTCATGAAGTGTTCCTTTTTTTTTTTTTTTGGTGGTACCAGGTATCAAACTCAGGACCTTGTGCTTGCCAACCAAGCACTTATTCCACTGAGGTATCTCCCCATCCCACCATATTCTTGTTCTGCAATGGAAAGGGGGGATCAAAAGATGAAGGGAAGGAGAGGAGGAGGGTGAGGAAAGAGTGAAGAAGATGTATTATGTGCATACACCAACTCACTACAAGGAATGTAAATATGTACTCCAAACATACTAATAAAAAATAGAAAGCTTTACAAAATCCAATTTTTAAAATTAATAGGCATTAATAAAATGCCTATTAATATATATCTTTTTTT